TCTCCTACAGTTGCTCTAACTCAAAGCCTTGCTCTACCTCAGCAAGCAGGGTTTATAGTTATTGGAAGAAAAAAATCTAGTGGAGATCCTAGGGAAAAAGAGAAGTGGCAAACAATTAGGCACTAGCTCTGTCTCCTGGAGCCTGCAGTACCATGGAATTGGTGAGAGTAGATGGGCAGAGATACTATATGCAGTAAAGGGACACACAGAAAAATGCAAATGAAACCCTTCACGCATTTTCAAAAGGATCAAGTGAAGAATCCTCCTTTCCCTCCTTGGGTAATTGCTTGAGGATTTCTATTGTATTCTTTAAGGGGCTCCATAAATAGCACCTAACTTATTCTTCAGCTGGGAACCAGTTACAAAGCACTGAGGCCATTTAACCCTCAGTAAAGGGTCTCCTGGAGCATAAGGCAGATTAGAGGGATCCCCAGGTGACAAAATCCCTGGGCCTCTGCACTTGCCTGGCATTTCTCTGGCTGCAGAAGCAACCATCAGCAGCTGTTCCAACACAGACACTTCCAGGTAAGGCAGATGGCTCCCCTTCACCCACTTCTCCCTAACTGCTACTGCTCTTCTCATCTGCCCTGCTCTTTTCCTTGGACTCCCTCTCTTGGATTCCTGGATCAAGCAAGTGAAACGGGTTAGGATGGGCTAAGGAGAAGGAACAAGATACCTCAGCTACTGTTTTGGACATGGATGCCGAACTATGTAGTTCAGTACTAGAAACAAGGAGATACTACCTTTCAAAACTGAAATAATGGAACAATTCAGATGACTGTGCTGCAGCTGAAGAAGGTACAGGAAGCTTTGTAAAACAATACAGAAAGATCAAACCACTATTTCTCACACAGCTACTCATATCCAGGCTTATTTCATGCAATTACTCAGCAATGCACTGACATCTTAACAGAGAGCAAGCAAGGAGGCCCCAGGACTTGAAACCGCAAACTGGCCAGGTGCAGAATCTGTGTGCTCCAAAAGGATCTGTTACACCAATTACCTACTTGGTGGTTTGAGACAGTCTTGCAGGAATTGTGCTTCACACACTATCCACAGCAAATCGTTACGGCATATGGTATATATTTACTAACATTCTGCATATGGATGAACTATACCTTTATATCCATATATTTCCAGGATTTTCTATGTCAAAACTAAAGGAGGAAGAAAACACAAATTTTTACTTTTGTACCTAAGCACTGGGTTGCAGCTGATCCTTTAGATAGGTGCAAAAATCCATGGTGCTCCATACCCAAGCACAAGCATTTCCCAGACTCACTTTAACTAACTTTGGTTTATGCTACTTTTCACTGCTGGCAGTGGAAATGTTGTACCTATCCAGCCAGCACAAGTGGTTTTAACATCCATAACTCACAAATGCCACATGCAGATGTGCTTTCACAGTTTACAGCTCTGCTGAACTGCCTTCTCATAATTCAGAGTGCTCACACAGATTCCACCACATAGCAAACTTATTTTATAATAAGATAAGAATCTCTGCTGCAGCAGATGAAAAACATTTGTTTGGAATATTTCAGCCACGCTGCACATGAACGGCCTGTTGCATTATGTATATACTGATTACAGAAACTGGAGAATACAGTGGGTTCAAGTTACACATGTTCTCTAGCCTTATTGGCAGTTTTGGGTATTCGTTCTATTTTCCTACTGGAGCCCCATCTAATCTAGAAGATGACTAAGAAGACAGCAATTCAGACCAAGACAAATTTAAAAGCACAACAATCCAGGATATTTGTAGTAGGGCACATTAATTTTTAAAATATGGAGGAGCATAAAAAAATTCTTAAAAAAAAATTTAAATCACATATATAGTTTAAAGGCTGACATCACTAAAGGTATGAACATTGGCAGCAAGAACATAAATACATTAGATTATGAAACAAGTCCTGACCAGAAGTGGAAAATTATGTTCCTCACTCCTGCAAAGATATTGTGGGAAGGGTGCAGCCACAAGATGTCCAGTTCACTAAGGGGACAGGCTGAATGAGCAGTTATAAGGAGATTTTGGATAAATTACACTACCACTTAAACAATAGGACTGAAGCAGCTGAATCCTGTCTCTGTGTTTGCCTTTGACTTGTTTCAAGGCTTCTATTTTCCAAGTCACTTAAGCTATTCCATTTATTCAAAGTTTGATCTTAAAGTTCCAGTTGTTTGTTACTTCATTAGCAGTACTTGAATAAAACCAAGAGGATTCATGGATGTTTTGGCAACATAAGGCTGATGTAAAATCCATGTAGTTAATGTCACTTATACTCTGTCCCAAAATAATCAAAGGAAGATATTGTGCATGTCTGGAAGATATTTCAAAGCCATCTAACTACCTTATTGGGCACCTTTGTCTCAAGTATTTCTGAGAAGAATAGATGCAATCGATATTAGCACCTTTTTCTGTACTGTCATGTCTCTGCTAAACAGACCATTTGTATCCATCTTCTCCTCACTCATCTACTACTCCCAGAGGTGGAGTGAACTTCCAGTGAAAAAATTGCCATCTTGAACCTAAGTGGACTGTAACAAGTGTGGCAGCAGCATTTTGCTAAGCTAAGAGCAGTATTAAATACAGAAATGAGAAGGAACAGCCTGAAACTGTTCCAGAAGAAATTGCACAGGAGACTGGGATGACAACTGAACCTCAAAGAGTGGGCACTTTTCAGTTAAGCTGCTCATAATGCATGTATTTGCAGCCTTTTCCTTTCCTGATAGGCCAAACAAAGCATCTATTCAATTTACTCATTCCTCTGCATGGTTACTAGAAGGGGCAAGGGCTAGAAGTATCTAGAAGTTACCAGGGCTACTGCCAGGGGGCAATGACAGCCAAAAGCTCTCAGTTTGAACCTGGTGGAGCACACGGTGCCCCTCACATCATAAGGGGTTGCTGCATTCATGAATGCAGCTGCTGCAACAAATGTACCCTAACTCCACCTTCCCCTGCCCTGCAGCAATCTCTACTGTGTTGTCTAACTAAAGCAATCCAACCACCTACAATAAGAGCTGTATTCAATTTAGGGGGAAAAAATATCAAAATATACCAAAAACTCTTCATCCAAAACATTGTATCACCTTGACCACTCTATTTTGACCTCTGCTTTTGACCTCTATTGCTACAAGATCGCTGTTATCTTTTCTGCCTGTTCAGAATTCCTATTTCCTTCACAGCATCTAACTAAACAGAGTGCACAGTGGAGATGCCAAATAAAAACACATGTATTTAACTTAGCAAGTAAAAGAGGGAAGTGATAAGAATAGAAATTGTCTTTAAGGAAGGAATTAGCATGCCTACAAAAAAAAAAAAAAAAAAAATCCAAACAACTCCACAACAACAAAACAAGCAGCTTCAGCCTAGTTCCCCCTTCTAGACTTTCTACCATATCCTGACTTCTTAAATACCATCTGCCAGAAAGGCAAGTTCCTCAGATGTGCTATCTGTTTCTTGGGGTTTTTCTTCATTTACCAGCAAATCATGGAAAATCCTCCTCCACAATTTAAGTCAGTAAGCATCATCCACCTTTTCCTTCTTTAAAACATTATGCAACTGTTTGAGTATAGGATGCAATTTGATTGAATTCTTCTGTTATGAAAAATTCCACCTTTACACTGGTGGAAGTTTGTTCCTTCTCATACTGATGCACACTTATTTAAATGTGCCTCAAAGGGCTTCTAAACCAAGAGAGTGTACAAAAGAGTGAACTGAATCTGTGCTGCAAGGACTTTGTCACTGAAAAAAAAAAAAGAAAAGGAAAAAAAAAAGTAGCCTCACTAAAGGAATTCAGTTTGATTCAGCTGCTCTACCCTTGACCTTGCAGTTCTGGAAAGTTAGAATCTTCACCTGCATTTAAATTCCTGCAAGCATATAGCTCTGCTGTCCTAACTAGCAGCTCTCAAAAGTTTAATGCATCCATCTTTGGTGTTTGCAGCTGACGACTGAACAGCATTTTCTACTGTGTGTACACTGACTCTCACGTTCTGTTGCTTGTAATCAGACCTTTTCAGAAGAGTGACTTTTTTCCTATCTTGGCAGAGATGTATGGCTTATTACAGCAAACCAAGACGCCAACTTTGATGTTTCAAAGGTCAGATTTTTTTTTTCCCTGTTATCTAAGTAAAGAAGGCTTTATTTCCCCCCCCCCAAAGTCATATTGGGAAGACACATTAATTTTTACCCTTTTGTCACTCGGCAAAAAGCATAGGGAGCTATGATCAAGTTTTTAAATTACCTCCTGGGAGCTCCTTTGAAAACTCCTAGTTTGATTACTACGATGTTTGTACCAAAGCAAGAAATAGCCGCCCTGTTCCACTCATTGCAGGGAAGGCAGCAGGGAAGAGTTTTTGAACTGTAATTACCAGCTTACCCACTCAGGCTCCTTCCTAAAGCAGGAATCATTCATCATCCTCTTTTGTGCTACCGACTCCTTAAAAGGCCTACTCAGCTTTAACTCCCGGGCATCCCACCACAGCCAGGCTCCCCAAGAGCCCACGCCAGGGCTACCTAGATGGATTTCAAAGGGAACATCGCGCCGCTTGCCTGCCTTATTTGGAAAACCCTAACTCTGCACGGCTTGGCACAACCTCAGCGGCCGCGCAGGGCTTCGTAAACCTGGAGCTCTGACAGAGCTTTAACGAGAAGGAACCTCAGATTGCAATGAACTCCCAGCACCAGCAAGAAACAGAAATGAGAATAAAAAGAGAGGGCGGGCTGACAAGAGCCGAGCGAAAGTTGTCGAGTTAAAAACAAACCCAAAAGGGCCCAGCGCGGAGCGCTCGGGAGGGCTTTGAGCGTGTTTGGCACAAAAACCTTCAGGAAGGAGGAAAAGGAAGGCCGGGGAGCGAGCGAGGGAGCCGGTCCGACCCCGGCGGGCGAGTGGCCAGCGGCGCGGGGACACCTCCGCGCACACGCTCCTCCGGCCGCGCTCAGGCGGGCAGGGCGGGGGCGGAGCGGCGCCGGGACGCCCCTGCACCCCCGCGGCGGCCGGGAGGCCTATGGGGGCGCGGCGCCGCCGCCGGAGCGCCGGCAGCCCCTCCCCGCCGCTGCCTGCAGGAGTGGGAATAAAGACAGATAGCGGGGCAGGCACCGGCCGGGCGGGCGGGACGGAGCGCGCACAAAGTTTCCTGCGGAGCCCGCGGGCGGCGGCAGCGATGCCCGTGCTGCGCGGAGCACTGGGGCTGCGCGGGCGCCGCCGGCCTTAGGGGAGCGAGAGCGGCGCGGGGCGCGGCAGCGAGCCCCCGGCCCGTCCTCTCCTCCGGGCGGCCAGGAGGAAGCGCCCCGGGCAGGGACGGGAGAGCGGCACTGCCGGAGCGCGGGGAGGGGGACCGGCACCGCGGGGCCAGCCGCGCCGGCGGAGCCGGGGGGAAAGATGAGCTTGTTGTCAACCATCGACACCAGCGCCGCGCCCGTGTACCAGCCCGCCCAGCTCCTCAACTGGGTCTATCTCTCGCTGCAAGACACGCACCAGGCCAGCGCCTTCGATGCCTTCAGACCCGAGCCCTCCTCGTCCCAGCACCCCGACCTCGGCTACACCAAGAGCACCCCGGAGCTGGGCTCGTCACTCAGCTCCAGCTATCTCAACAGCTTCTTCCAGCTCCAGCGGAGCGAGGTGAGTCCGCCGCGCCGCCCGGCGCGGAGCCCCCGGCCCCCCCGGGCCACAACCGCCATGATGCCTCGGCAGCCTCCTGCCCCCTTCCCCGGGCCGGCACCGAGCCCGCCCCAAGCGGGGCAGCCCCGCTCCCCGCCGCGCACGCCGGGGCGGCTCGGCCACCCGCGCAGGCTCCTTGTCCTCCTGCCTAGCCGGCTCCTTCCCGCCCGGCGCTCCCTCGCTGCCCGTCCCGCTAACGGGCCGGGGCGAGGCGCCGCCGCCGCGGCATTGGCGCGGCCGCCGCCTCCTCCCGCCGCCCGCCAGCGGCGCGGGGCGCCCGTGTTGACAGTCTGGTCAATGGTTACACGGATTTCCCGTGCGCAGCCGGAGGGACGGGGGGCAGGACACGCAAAAAGTGCTACATCCGTCATAACGTGCAAAAATACCACCACCGCCGCCGCCACCACCCCCCCCCCTTTTATTTTTTTCCCCCTAAAGCGTTACTTAAAAAGCTTGATATAAGACTGCATATGGCTTATGAGAGATCAAAGGCAGGCACTATTTGAAAGGAATAAATATAAACAGGAACGTGATGAAAACAGCAAAAAAGTTTTGTGCACGTTTCGTAATGCAAAACGAGACTAAATGTAACCAAAGGGAAGGAAGCTAAAAAACTGGGATATGCAAAGACAATTCGCTGTGGAACTCCCTGTTACAGGAAGTTGTTGAGGTCAAGCACTTCTGCACTGGAGGGGTTTCACATGTGTGGAGAGAGATCCTGCAAGGTGGCACCTCACACGCCACAGCTCCCAGCCTCTCCAGAAAAGACCCAGCTAGAGTTTGGCACCCTACTGTGGGACTCTTGCCGGAGGCATTCAACAGCGGCTTTGTTTGATATGGTCAGATGGACTATACATCCCAACCTGCTCTGGCACTTCCTACAGAATGACATTTCAAAGTTCTTCCAGCACCTTTTATGTTAAACGTCGACTTAAAATGTATTCTTGGTCAAAGTACACCCTTCTGTTCTGTCAGAAAAGTTATGGAGTTATTAATTAAAACCAAATCAAATTCCCCAAGTGCTCTTGTAATAGAGCTACTAAAAGTTGAGAGCCAGATTTATATAGACATGTTTTCCTTTAATTAGAAATTCTTTCTTTAAGAATTTAACAAAGCACATCCAATCTCAAAATAGGTACTGTATTTGAGAGTATGTAGTTTGAAACTCGTTCAACCTGATTAAGTCTTACTAAGCATGACATGACATGGGCATTCAACAACATATAGACCTAACAAGCACATTGATTTTGCAAAAAGATTAGCAGGAAGTGCAATTTAAACTATTAGCTACCTACCTGTTGGTGACAAATTGTAGATTTTACCCCTTCCTGCTAGGCTTTCAAACTTTATGTTACCCAGGTAGCAGCAAGCCTCCAGGAGCTTGGCCAGCATGGATTCCAGATGGGACTCTGTTCAGGCCCATGTTTGTTGAAGTTGGGATACATTCTGCTCACAGCAGGTCTTTTATTTTTTGGGATAAAAAGGAAGAAACAAGTAAATGGAGTCTGCATTCAGGAAGCCTTTGAAACAGTCTCTGAGAAACAGTTTTCTCTTCCTGACAGTTCCCTAGTTCATTTCGGCTTCTACTATACTCTGTGCAAGTAGGGGCTAATCCTTTTGTCACACTCCCTTTCCACTTGGCTTATAGTTCTTTCCATTTTCCCCCCTAACCTTTCTTGTGGAACATAATTTGCCTGCTATTCCAGGCCTTCTTCAGGCCCCTGTCTCTGCCCCAGCTCCAAGCAGTCAGTCCCTGTGCAGCCTCCCCCCAGCTGTGCTGTTTTCAGATCCCAGAAGTCACCTTCTGTGTGGATTCCTATCACCCGCAAGCTGTAACTTTATTCTGCTCTTTTTAACCTCATTACAGTTTCCTGAGGCACACGAACAGCAGCAGCAACTGAGAATTTCAGCTCTGTAGAAAGCCAAGAACATTCACCATTCAGGAAATAAGAAGCCATTTCATTCTATACAGATATTTTATTATTTTTAAAGATAAGGCCTGTTAGTTTGTTGCCATTCATTTTCCAGCCTGTGACGATAGCACTGACTATGTGGCTGATGGAGACACTTCTATATTTCCAGTATTCACCTGAACTATGTCCTAATACATAGTAACCTGAAAAGAGGGAAAGGAGCACAGCTATCTCCTATGGCATGGGAATGCATCTGCCCTGCTGGATATACCCTGAAGGAAGTAGGAAGCCCTCTAATTTCCCAGCTAACACTGCCTGCTTGTACAGCAGCTTTCATTCAAGGGTTTAGAAGGTGCTAGAGATACTGTTGCTCAAAAGAAGTTATGTCAATATCTTATATGCTCTGTTCTTTCCAGAAACGGGAAACCAGACTGCTTTTTTGGCAGGAGTCACCCAAGAGTTTCCGACAATGTCATGCTCTTAATTCTTGAGATTCTAACATCTGTTTATTTGCAGATGCCATTGGGTATACACTACACATTTCAACCGCATAAAATTATTTTGGAGAGCATTAGTACTGTATGCTGTTTCTGCAGCAAGTGGGCCTATGCTATCTTTGGAACGACACATAGCTTTCCACAGTCAAACTGTTGACTGTTTTCTACACAGTACTTGCTTTGGTTGGCATTTTTTTTCCCCTCACGGTTTTGTCCTGGGTTGGCTTAGCCTGGAGCCGAGCTGTGACAATGATTGACACATAGCTGTACACAATATTTGGAAAGTGACCTAATGAGGGTCCAAAATAGCAACAGATTGAAAAATGATAGGATCATAGGGTGTAAAATAGTTGTGTGTCCTGTATGTTGCCTTGCAATTGAAACTTTCTGGAGAAGAACACTTGGAATAAGAGACAGCACTTGTGAAAAGTTGCTATTATACAGGGTTTGCAAGTCTGCATGGCACTGCCTGTGTATGTGACTTGCATACTGACCAAAGGAACAGGACAGCAAAAAAATAAAAATGCCAGCACCCACAGAGTAGTCTTGTACTTCAAGATTTTTGTCCTCCAGACTTTTTCCACTACAATGGATGCCTTCTAAATAAACATGATGAACACAGCTGTTTGGTGCATAAAAGCCCATTGTACCAAGGGAAAAAAAAAACAATAATAAAGGTTTAAACAGTAAAACAACAATGAGTGTTTTGTTCTGTATGCAAGACTCGTTTTGCAAAACAGACCTGCTTTAAGCCAAACTTTATGGCAGCATTTGTTGTCCTAGATATGAAATAAAAGCATGTTAGACCATTAAGATGCAATAAATTGGCCATTGAACTGAGCTCCACCCTCATTATAACACCATCCATCAGAGCCAAGTATTTGAGGTTTTGTTGTGAGGCTGGTTATGTGGAATTTAATGCCTTTGAGACACAGCCAGGTATCTGTGGCTTTATCATTGAGGGTTATAATTAAAAAAACCTAGAGTAAGGGGGCAAGAGACTCATAAGATATTTTTCTACACTAACAGGAGGCATCCTACCAGGTCAGTGCTGTCTTTGGTCAAGAAGAGACAGCAAGCAGCAACTAGAAATTATCACAATATAATAGTTACTTTTTTTTTTCTCTACTCTGTGTCTTTCAAGAGCAAAATTCCTTCTAGAAGCCTCTACAGCAGCCACTTTCTGGATCTAAAACAGATTTTATTTAAGCACAAATAACTGTACGTACTAGATGAGAAAATAACCACCATTTTCATGTTTCTGACTTAGAGACTTCCAGATCCAGTCCTTATAGGCAAGAGGGGAACTGACTGGGAATGAGAGCACACCAGCTAGTTCAGTTTGCTGCAGTAAAGTATGGATCACTTGCTTGGAAAGAAAAATGTGTGGAGTTAAAAAAAGTTTACAGTATGCTGTGGAAAATAACATTTAAATCCCTGTGAAACAAGCAAGTCTAAAGCACTTGGGTAGATTAGGTAACTTCCCAAAGAAGATAGTGACATTCATGAACTAACAACAAAAACTGATGAAATACTGAAAGAACAAAAACATAGGGAAGGAAATTGGGAGTTCTACAGAAAATATATTTTATTTTATTTTAACTTGTTGTCCCTCTGTCTTTCACAGAATTAGGGGGGTAAATACTAGGCTGATACCTGATGAAGAAAGATCTGTTATTTGGCCAAGATGAAGTAATTTGGAGGGTAATTATGAGATTAAAAAAAATATCTCCATTCTCTTAGTATCAGAAGAATATAAGGATTGCTATACCAGATCAGGCCATTGGCTCCCTGAATTAAGTCAGTATCTTTGGGAACAGCCACGTTTAAAAGATTTAAAAGGGAAAACCAAATGCCTTTTAGGAGGCTGCTCACAACCAGTATGGTCTGAAGGCAAAATCAACAGAGAGGCAGGTTAGCAGAAATTGCCATATGTTCCAAAACATGTCCAATTTGTTTAATTTTGAGCAACATTATTAGTTACTCTAACACACAGCATGTTTTTGATCCACAGGGTGCTTAATGTGCTAGGCACTCAAATGAGGACTTCTTGCTTTCTCAGCTACAGACTGACAGAGTAGCAGTCTACAGTACCTGAATATGTCCTTTAATAGTAATGTTAACTATTTATTTCCTAATTTTAATTTTTTTTTCTCACTGTAAGTACCAACATTGGAGTGCTCTCAACCTTCTCTAAATTTTATTGAAAGGACACTAGCATAACAATTCCTGTGTTGCAGGGACTTGTGCTCTCTGCCTCAGGATGATTATACTCTACCGGTATTTTGTGGCTACTTAAAGTGCCAAGCAATTCTAAAATGCTTTTCAGGAAGTTAAATGTCAATTCTCACATCAGACCTCATAAGAGATTCCAGGGAGCTGAATCTCTTATGTTAATCAGAGGACAACATGCATTTGGAGATCTTGGCAAGACCAGCCTGTGTTCTCCCAATGCAGCCAGCTCCAGAGCCCTTTTGATGCTGCTGCCTCAGCACACAAAGTGAGCTTTCACAGCCCACTGTACACTGGTCTCAAAATTTTAGATCCTATT